AAACCGACGCCTGCATATCTCGTTATTTCAATCGGTGGTTCGCATGTCATGACCGTTGCTTGGGAGGACTGGTCCTGCAGATTGCCACTCCTACTGGTTACTGGCCTTAGGGATTGATGGTGTTAGGGAACGCTATATCTGGGGGGACATTGCTAATCCTAAGGGGTACTCGTCCTGGGGGGCACTGGTCCTAGCAAGTACTCGTCCTAGGGAGTACTTGCCCTAGGGATTGCTCGTCCGGGGTAGGGCGTACTGGTCCTAGGGACTATAAGTCCTGAGGGGTAATGATCCTAGCAGTACTGGTCCTAAGGAGCAATCGTCCTAGGGAGTAATTGGCTTGGGAAGTGCTCGTCCTAAGGACCACTGGTCCAAACAAATACTGGTCCTAGGGTGTGCTGGTCCTAAGGAGTACTAGTCCTGGGAAGTACTCGTCCTAGGGAGTGCTCGTCCTAAGGAGTACTCGTCCTAAGGAATACTGGTCCTAGGGGTTACTCGCCCCCGGTAGAACGTACTTGTCCTAGGGAGTACTGGTCCGTCCTGGGGTGTGTATACGTAGCACCCCGCAGTTGCGGATAAGAGTGAGGGGGCGGCGGGGACATCGGCGTATGCGAGGCCTTGAAGCCCGCCGCAGGCGCACAAATTTTGGGTGGGTCGCGGGGTGGGTCGCGGGTGGGTCGCGGTTGGTCGCGGGTGGGATCGTTGATGGGCCACCCAGAACGAATGCAATAACAGCCCGCCGCAGGCGCCGAAGTTCTGGCTTGTTCAGTGAACGTAGTTTGGGTCGCGGGTGGGTCACGGGCTCTCCACTTCCACCTGGAAGGAATTCCAAAACAGCCCGCCGCAGGTGCCGAACATTTTGATTTGTACACTGAACGCGGTTTGGGTCGCGGGTGGGTCGCAGGTTCTCCACCTGGAGCGAATGTAACAGAAGCCCGCCGCAGGCGCCGAACATTTTGGGTGGGTCGCGGGGTGGGTCGCGGGTGGGTCGCGGGTGGGTCGCGGTGGGTTGCGGGGTGGGTCGCGGGTGGGTTCGCGGGTGGGTCGCGGGGTCGGGGGTTGGTCGGGGGTGGGTCGGGTGGGTCGCGGGTTCTGGGTCGCGGGCGGGTCGCGGGTGGGTCGTCGCGGGGTGGGTCGCGGGTGGGTCGCGGGGTGGGTCGCGGGGTGGGTCGCGGGTGGGTCGCGGGGTGGGTCGCGGGGTGGGTCGCGGGGTGGGTCGCGGGTGGGTCGCGGGGCGGGTCGCGGGTGGGACGACGACAACAACAAACAACAAACAACAAGAATCCGCATCGCGGGGTTCCACTGCAGCCACGCACCCAGGGACAGTGAATGACCGTTCGGTTCAGCCCCCCTCACTCTGATACATACATTAATGTACGTGTTTACATGTATGTGTTCAATAACAATATCCATACGATACATCTGTGCATATACGCGTACAATCGTATATGAATAGTATTCGCATTTGATTGGTAGTGTTTTCACTAGTACTATTATCATGCTTGGTAATACTATTATTATACATGTTGATAGTTCTACAGTAGCTTAACATTGCGAGTATTACTACGCATACTTATTTCGAATACATGTATGTATATATAGTAGTTTGAGGAGAAGGAGGAGGAGCGAGGAGAAGGAAGAGGAGGATGGGGAGTAGGAGGAGGAGGAGGAGGAGGAGGAAGAGGAGGAAGGGGAGAAGCTAGCGTAGGAGGAGGAGGAGGAGGAGGAGGAGGAGGAGGAGGAGGAGGAGGGCGAAGAGTACCATGGGTGATGCTCTGGAGCTGCTAAGTGCTCCTGCGGTGTCATTTTTCGGTTCTGTCTGGGCTGTATGAGGCGGTCTTGGGGGAGCCCCGTGTAGTTGGGGGGGCATTCCTGGGGGGCGGTTCTGGGCTGTCTGGGAGGCCCTGGGGGCCTCGGGGGGGCCGTTCGTGCGGAGGGCGGGGTGGGGGTGGGGTGAGGGAGGGCGGCTGGGAAATATTGTTGGGCGGTTCGACGGGGGGGGGTACAGTCTATTCTCGTTTTAGAAAGAAGAATCTATGTCGGGTGCAGTTCACGGAGTTGAAATTATGTGGTGGGAGCTATATGGTACAATATTTGTGGTTCAAGCTATTTGGTACAATCTGAAGGTTGCAAAAGATGCGGTGGAAGCCACGTCGTGCAGTATATGGGGTGCAGGTTCTGCGGTGCATCCTACCTGGTGCATGCATCCTACCTGGTGCAGGCTATGTGTACACCCTGAATCGCGAGCCAGCGCAGACGGGGCGGGCACGAGGCGGGCATGCAAGGGCAACGGGCGAGAACCGAGAAACGCCAGCCAGCGCACAGGGTGACACGGGCGGGCAACGGGCGAACGGTTTACACATCCAGCCGGCGTACGGACCGGGCACGAGGCGGGCCCGGCCGGGCTTTCAGCGCAAACCCGGAACAGTCAGCCAGCGCACGGCGCGACCACGAGCCGGGCATGGATGGGCACCGGGCGAAAACCTGAGCTTCCCAGAGATCCAACGTATTGAAAAAATCACGACGGAGGTTTTTCACAAATTTTGCACCTAGGGGCCCTCGCCGGGCCTCGGGACCGTCAAAAAATGATTCTGGATGAAAAACCAGTCCTGGATCGAGGCTTCCGGGGACCGCGCATGGAAAAAACACGACATCGGATCTCTGAGTCCCAGCCGATGGTTTGATAGAAACGCAGCAGCCCCATACTGCAAGCATTGTTCGGGAAGCAAGGCAGCAGTGCAACGGCACTCTCTCGCAGCCGTCCGCCCCCCATGGGGGCCGGCCGATTGCTACATGGTCAAGCGGGACAGTCTGAGATTTCAGCGCGAGGGAGCGTCAGCGCTGTGTCCAAGTGGGAGGCAGCCGCCAGACTCCTCAACATGGAGGCGCGGCGCCTCACGGGAACAGAGCATCGTGCCAGCCAGGGGGTCAGCACCGGGGAGCTGAACGAAGCATTGAGCATCTGTGCCAGGGCTCAGAGATATACGCAGGCAGTGGAACTTCTGTGGGCCGCTCGGCGCCAAGCCATGACCTTCAACGCGATCACAGCTGTGGCGAGCGTGGAAGTGAGTGAGCGCACTGGTAGCCACGAGCTGCTCGCGCGCAGCTTGCTGCGTTACGCCTACCTCTGCACAAAGCGGCTATTCCACGATCGACAAGGGGCGTGGCGCTTTGAAGACAATCGGACAAATCAGCCTGGTAGCGCCCTGTGCCTTCTCGACACCCTGCTTGCCCACAACGCTTTGGGCGCTGTGCCGTGGACAGCGTTCGCCCGATGCATGTACAGCACAGTGCTACGGAGTCTCAGGGGATTGGATAACAGAGCCGAGGCAGGCCCGTCGATAGGAAGGCGGTGGCTGCGCGACCTCGCTTTGGAGCAGCAGTTCTCCCTAGGCGGGATCTTCTCCCGAACGGCCCTTCAGGAGCTGGTTCGCGCGCCGGGCCTGCAGAAAATGGGAAATCGCAGCAGGTACCACTCGCTGCACGCATCTCCTCTGCCATTGTCCGCCGCGACCAAGCCATCGCCGTCAGCTGGTAGCAGCGTCGCTTGCCTGGCACCGCCGCCGCCGCTTGATTATTTCGCCGATGCCGCCTCTCAGCCCGTGACCGCGCGCACGCACGCAAGCGCCACCGCCACCGCCGTCTGAAGACCGATCCCCGGACACCATCCCGGCCAGTCCTGGCCGCCGACGCCACGAACAGCGCCGCCCAGAGATCAGGAGAGGCCACGAGGGGCCGCTCCCGGGGGCTGCGCTGCGCGACGAACGCCCGCGCACCCCTGCACGCACGTAGCGTGCACGCACGTAGCGTGCACGCAGCCGCCGCTGCCTCTGCCGCCCAGCCGGTGCTCGCGCACGCACGCACGGCTCGCCGCGGCCGCCGCCTTCTGCACCGCCTGCACGCTGCCGCTGCCGCCGTGGTGCCGCCGCCGCTGCCGCCTCTCGGTGCTGCCACCCGCACCCGCGCGCCGCTGCCGCCGCCCTCTCCGGCCGCAGGCGCGGGGGCCGCGGGCGGCGGGCGACACATGCCCGCCCTCCCCGCCTCCGCGCGCGCGCGCGATGGGGCGTTGCGGCACGCCAGCGCCACCGCCGCCCAGCGAGCGCCTGCGGCTGCTCTGCGCCGCGGCGGCGCCGGCCGCCGGGCCTGTCGGCGAGGCCGAGGCGGCGCCGCCGTCGACTCTGACGCCGACGCTGACGCTGACGCCGACGCCGACGCCGACGCCGACGCCGACGTCGCCGCCGCCGCCGTTGCTACCGCCGCCGCCGACGATGACGACGATGATGACGACGTCCCCCAAGATCGCCGCAAGAGTAACCAGGATGCCTCCAAGATGGCCCCAAGACGGCCTAAGATGGCCTCAACATGGCCCAGGACGGCCCAAGAAGCCCCCGAGATGCCTCCAAGATTGCCCAAGAGGCCTCAAGAGGAAATACAGGAAAGCCCGAAGGAGTCAAAATCATTGATTTCCGATGTGTTAGAAGGTTTTGAGCTTTTGCTCCTTGTCAGTCTTCCGACGGTCCAAGACGGCCCAAGACGTCCCTAAAGATCGCCCCAAGAGCGACCAGGCTGCTTCAAACATGGCCCCACCCAAGACGGCCTAAGATGGCCTCAACAGACCCAGGACGGCCCAAGAAGCCCCCGAGAGGCTTCCACGATTGCCCAAGAGGCCTCAAGAGGAATTACAGAAAGCCCGAAGAAGCCGAAATCATTAATGTTTCTATGTGTTTGAAGTTTGGCGGCTGTTGCTCCTTGTCGGCCGTCCGACGGCCCAAGACGGCCCAAGAGGCCCCGAAGATCGCCCCAGGATCGACCACGATGCCTGCAAGATGGCCCCATGACGGTCCATGAGACCGCCAAGACGGCCACAAGAGGACCCAAAGACGGCCCAAGAGGCCCCCAAGATGCCCAAGATGGCCCTCAAGACGGCCAAGACGGCCCAAGGGAGCCCAAGATGACCGCAAGATGTCTCCAAGACGGCCCAAGATGTACTCAAGACGATCCGTAGCCATTTTGAAAGAGTGGCTCGCAGCTGCTCGCGGTTGTCAGTTGGGACTGCCAGCTGCGGGAGGCTCCCGAGAAACTCTCCGTCCTAAGTCTTAAGTCCTAGAGGACCACCCCGCGGCGGCGGCATAATCCTTCGCCGCCATGTTTGGCTCGCCCTTCCCTTTGCCAGGGGCAGCCGCAGCACACATCGGAACCGCCATCCCGGAGCAGCTCGGAGCCAGCCGGGATGGCAGCACCATGAGGGTCTTGGTGCAGAACACATTCATAGAGGTGATCTCCGAGGTCACCGAGGAGCACAAGGATACCAGCCGGCGCAACCGCTCCGCGCCAGCAGCAGTGACCACCGAAGAGGCGCTTGAGGATTTTGAGAGCGCTTTCGCACTTGCGGGACATGGCAAGCCAGACAACGGCGCCATAGACTGCGACCTCGGTGATGAAGGCGGTGGAGATCGCACCACCGTGGTACTTCGCAACCTGCCGCCGAACTATTCTCGGGCGTTCCTGCTGGAGCTGCTTGACGCGCATGGCTTTGCAGGGAAGTATGACTTTGTCTACATGCCGCTCGAGTTCGGCTCCGGCACGACGTTCGGATTCGCGTTCGTGAATCTCACAGGGCCAGAGCACGCCGCTCACTTCAAGACGGTCTTCGATGGGTTCTCTTCCTGGCAGGTACCCTGCGAGCGCGAGGCGGCGGTGGGCTGGAGCTGGTCGCAGGGGTATCAGGCCCACGTCGACCGCTACAGGAACAGCCCAGTGATGCACGACGCCATGCCCGACGACTGCAAGCCCATCGTCTTTGCCAGCGGGGCGCGCGCAGCCTTTCCGCCGCCGACCAAGAGGGTGCCTCCCCTCAAGCGGCAGCGGAGGCGCCCCGCGCCCCGCGCCCGCGGCGCCGCGGCGCTGGCGGCGTCTGCGGGAGACGAGTCGAGCGGCACGGCCTCGAACGTGGAGGGCGGCTGCAGTCTCCCGGGCCGGCAGGAGGAGGGCTCCCTGATGCGCGGCGCCCTCGAGGCCGTCGACCGCGGTGCCTGCGAGGGGGACCTCGTCGGGGAGAGCCCGCTGGCCTCCGCCCTCTGCGCGTACACTGGCGGGCTCCTGGGGCGAGACGACGGCCGATGGAAGGCGTCCCCGCGGCAGGAGAGGCCCGCCGGGGCGCGCGGGGCGCGCGTGGCCAGCTGGGCCGACCTGTCCGAAGATCCGGACTGCCCCGACGCCCTGCAGGGCTTGCTGCTGCCCGGGCTCTGCCCCACGCGGGAGCTGCAGGAACGACCCTCCGCGAAGCGGCCGCCGAGCCCCGAGGGCCCGGGGGTGCCGAGGCCTGGCTGCGATAGCAAGGAGGTGGACCTCCACAGCGAGAGCTCCACCGACGTCTCGAGCTCGCACTTCCTCTCGCAGGTCGCCTGCCAAGAGCACCCGCACTCGGCGGGGCAGCTGAGCTCGGGCTCCACGTCGGACGCGGCGCAGCGCAGCGACACCGCCCGCTCCAGCGCCAGGCGTGGGAAGCGCGCGGGCAGGCGGCAGGCGAAGGGCCACGCGAGCGCAGCCCCCTGGACAGGAGGCTCCATCCTGCTGCCTGGCCTGGTAAGCCTCGGGTTCCACGAGGCCGGGCCGCTCACCCGGATCTCCGACGACTCCGAGGCGTCCTAGGCGCGCCATCGGCGGCCTGTAGGGCGCGTCCGAGGGAGACAGTGACAAACTGCCCCGACGACGCACTCGGTGGCCGGGTGCATGTGCTCTGTTCCTTTAGACGGGCCAGGGCTCGTGCGATAGCAGTGCGAAGCCTTCTCGGCGCTCGGCGGCGGCGATGGGCGTAGCTTCCCAGGAGCTCCAGGAGCCAGCGGGACGCTGCCCGACGCGACGCACGACGGGTCCCATGTAGTATCTCGCTGCGGTGCCGCTTGGGCAGGCATTCGCAGTCCCTGTTTGAACAGCGCCCCAGCACCAGCGGGGCACGCAGGAGGAGGGGATTTGCTGAAGCAAGATCCAGAGTTCAGTCCGGCGTGTCCCTCCACAGGGGGAATGTTCAAAAATAGTCAAAAAATAGTATGGTGACGATTTTTGTACTATGCTTGACCATTTGTTTTTTGTTGGGGGGTATTTATAACTGTTCGTTCAAAATCCTCCTGTATAGGGACAGGCACGACCTAAATCCAGAGGGAAGAGGAGGAGTGGAGGATGTACTACCAGACCTGCTTGTGCCCCGTGACGCACACCTGTGCTGCCGCCGTGCGCAGCACAATCCTCTGCTCTGTGTCTCCCGAGGAGGGGGCCCCTCCTTTTCCTTTTCCTTCTCCTCCTCCTCCTCCTCCTCTTCCTCCTCTTCATCTTCCTCCTTCTCCTCCTCCTTTTCCTTTTCCTCCTCCTCCTCCTCCTCCTCCTCCTTTTCCTCCTCCTCCTCCTCCCTTCCCTCCCCCTCCACCGCCCTTCTCTGCTGCTGCCCCTCCTGCTTGCGAAGGCAGTTGGCGCGCCCGTCGTCGGTTGCGCGTGTCTTCCGCGAGCGACTTTTTACAGCCTCGAGTGGGCGCACCGTGGTCAAGCAGCGGGGCAGGGGAGAACACGACGAGAGCAGCAGCAGCAGCAGCAGCAGCAGCAGCAGCAGCAGCAGCAGCAGCAGCAGCAGCAGCAGCAGCAGCAGCAGCAGCAGCAGCAGCAGCAGCAGCTAGCAGTGCAAAAACAGCAGCAAGCCGGCGCGGCGTCTTCTGCGAGGGTTCCGTTCCGTGGCCTCGCACCTGTGTATATATAGATCGCTCGGGCCCGCGCAGCTGATGTCTCATGCGCGGTGGCGGGAGGAGCTGCAAAGGCCCACTGCCCCGTGGCCCCGACACGTCAGGAATGAGCGCGGGCTTCGTCACCACACGTGCATGCTCACTTTGTATATTTTGCAGGGGGGAGTGGGCATACCGACGCATACTCGGGAAGTTGCCCACGCGGCGGCTCTGGGTAATCGTAGCCGCCGCCGTCGCAGACGTGGCCGTCGCCGTGCCAGCGCCGACGCGTTGCTGCGCGAATGCTGCAGCTGGCGCAGTTACACGCTTACTTGTACCAGTTGATCTGGTCTGAAGGCGTGCTTCTTCTGCGCCAGGCAAGCGTGCGTGTGCCGTCCAAGGGCGGGGCAGTCCGACGGCACCCCGGGCAGAACCCCGGCCATCCTCTGCGGCCGAGTGCACGGCCGCCGAACCCGCAGGGGGGGGGGGGCGGCTGAGCTGGATGCACGGCTGCCTGGAGCCGGGGTTGCGGTGGGCACAGCGAACCAGGCACTGGCCTGCCGACGGTTGCCCCACGGCGCCCTCTCTGCCTCTCGATGCCAGGTCCCCCTGTCCTGCTTGCCCCCATGTGGCACGCGGCGGCGCCAGCACCACAGTGGCCGGGAAGCGTCGGCGCGCCGAGCCATGGGCTCGCCCGCGCGCCCCGCTGAGGAGGTGGCCGCACCCAGAATACCCCCTTGTGGAGGGCTGCTCGCTGCGCTGACGAGGCTCCGGCCTGCGCTGTCCACTGGCTCCGCCCGCTCCGCCCCCGCTCCGCTCTCTGCTCCCCCCCTCCCTCCCTCCCTCCCTCCTCCCGTTCGCCCCGTGTCCCGAGCGTTGCATGCTCCACCCGTGGCGTCCCATGATGCGCCATGTTTCAACTTTCAACTGTGCACTGGAGCAGTCGCCGGGTGCATCAGTGCTACAGCGAGGTCTAGCGCAATCACTACTGCGGAAACAGGGGTCGCCTCGCGCCCCGAGCGCTCGCTCCACGTGCCTTTGACAATGGTCCATTTTGTTTGAGGGCGCGAAAGGGAGTGCTGGCGCGACCCAAAGCGTCGCGCCAGGGCCTCAACCAAGGTTTGTCTTGCAGACCGGTTCTGCATCCGAATCTACAGTGGAGCTGAACCATAAGCGCTCGCGGCGCCACATGTGCACCGGAAAAAAGTAGCCTGGCGAGGGACCCAACCAGATGCAGTTTTGAGTATCGCCGTTGTGGGTACCGTCTTCGGTATCGTCTACGATGGGTTGCGAAATCCTATACTGGGCGGGGGTACACATGCGAACTTTGACACTGGGGCCTTCGGTTGAGTTCCCTATGGGGCCACGACGTGCTGTATTGGGTGGGGGAGACGCATGTGGACATCGCCAATGAGGCCTTCGGTGGAGCTCCCTATGGGGCCACGACATGCTGTGCTGGGTGGGGAGATGTTCGTGGACACCGCCACTGGGGCCTTCGGTGGAGCTCCCTATGGGGCCACGAAGTGCTTCACTGGGTGGGGAGACGCACGTGGACACCGCCAATGGGGCCTTCGGTGGAGCTCCCCATGGGGCCACGACGCGCCGTGCTGGGCGGGGTGGGGGAGACGCACGTGGACACCGCCACTAGGGCCTTAGATGAAGCTCCCCATGGGGCCACGAAACGAAACGCTGTGCTGGGTGGGGGAGACGCATGGGGACACCGCCGCCGGGCCTTAGGTGGAGCTCCCTATGGGGCCAGGTCGCGCCGTGCTGGGTGCGGGAGAGCCATGTGGACACCGCTATTGGGGCCTTAGGTGGAGGTCCCCATGGGGCCACGAAATGCTGTGCTGGGCGGGGGAGACGCATGTGAACACCGCCACTGGGGCCTTAGGTGGAGCTCCCCGGGTGGGAGAGACGCATGTGGACATCGCCACTGGGGCCTTCGGTGGAGCAACCTATGGGGCCACGAAACATTGTGCTGGGTGGGGAAACGTATGTGGACACCGCCACTGGGGCCTTAGATGGAGCTCCCCACGGGGCCACGAAACATTATGCTGGGTTGGGGAGACACGTGTGGACACCGCCACTGGGGCATTCAGTCGAGCTCCCTATGGGGCCACGAAGCGCTGTGCTGGGTGGGGGAGACGCATGTGGACATTGCCACTGGGGCCTTAGATGGAGCTCCCATGTGGCCACGAAGCGCGGTCTTAGGTGGGGAGACGTATGTGGACACCGCCAATGGGGCATGAGGTGGAGCTTCCTATGGGGCCCACGAGTCGCGGTGCTGGGCGGGGAGACGCGTGTGGATACCGCCACTGGGGCCTTACGTAGTTAGGTGGAGCTCCCTGTGGGGCCACGAAACGTTGTGCTGTTTGGGGGAAGCGCATGTGGACACCGCCACTGAGGCCTTAGGAGGAGCTACCTATGGGGCCACGAAGCGCCGTGCTGGGTGGGGAGACGCATGTGGACACCGCCACTGGGGCCTTAGGTGGAGCTCTCTTTGGGGCGACGGGGCGCCGTGCTGGGGGGGGGCGCATGTGGGCACCGCCATTGGGGCCTTAGGTGGCATTCCCCATGGGGCCACGAAATGCTGTGCTGGATGGGGGGAGACGCATGTGGACATCGCCACTGGGGCCTTAGGTAGAGCCTCCCGGGTGGGAGAGACGCATGTGGACACCGCCACTGGGCCCTTCGGTGGAGCAACCTATGGGGCCACGAAACATTGTGCTGGGTGGGGGAGACGCATGTGGACACCGCCACTTAGGTGGAGCTCCTTACGAGGCCACGAAACGTTGTGCTGGATGGGGGGGGCGCATGTGGACACCGCCAATGGGGCCTTAGGTGGCATTCCCCATGGGGCCACGACGCGCCGTGCTGGGTGGGGGAGACGCATGTGGACACCGCCACTGGGGCCTTAATCACGTTCGTCGTTCGTCGTCGTCGTCGTCGTCGTCGTCGTCGTCGTCGTCGTCGTCGTCGTCGTCGTCGTCGTCGTCGTCGTCGTCGTCGCCGTCGACATTCGTGGTCGTCGTCGTTCTTGCGTTCATTCGCTCGTCGTCGGGGTGGTCGTCGTCCGCGTCATCGTCGACGACGGATCCCTCTAGTTTCGTTCGTCGTCGCCGCCGTCGTCCCCCAGATCTCCCACCCGTGGCCCTGGGCCACGGGATCTCGCCTTTTTCTGGGCCTCCTCCTCCTCCTCCTCCTCCTCCTCCCTCCTCCTCCTCCTCCTCCTCCTCCTCCTCCTCCTCCCCGCCCCCCGCCCTCCACCCCCCCTCTCCCCAGACTTTTTAATTGTCTTACTCTGCTGTGTTTCCGAGCTCGGAGCCTTTTCTTTTCCTCGCCGTTCGTCGTCGTCCGCATCCCTGGCCATCTCGGACCTCCTTGACCTTGCCGGGCCCGAGAGGCCCAAAGAGATCCCGAGATAGTCCCGAGAGGCCCCAAGAGAGCCGCAAAGCGCCCGAGACAGCCGCAGGGGATCTGAGGGGAGTGGGCCAACCCGCTCCAGCGCTGACGCCCGCTCGCGCGCTCCGAAGACGGGGACCCACGACCACGCGGGCACTGGCTCTGGGGCGAGGCCCCCCGGGACCTGGCCGGAGGACGCGGCGTTGTCCACCCGCGTCGCCCCCAGGGGTGCGGGGGCGATCGCGCCCCGCGCCTCGCGGACGGACACCCTCGCAGACCCTGATCTCCGACGATAGGGCGAGGTTTTCGGACGTCCCGGCAGATCCCCGGACGCTTTCCATCCTCGGGGTGCTTCTCAGCGGCTGTGCCTCGTCGAGAGTGTGCCTGGGATGCCAGCATCGCCCCGAACGGCCGCCGGAGAGCCGAGCTATCAGCCAGAAGCCCAGGTCTCCGACGAGATGGTTTTTGTCGACCGACAGATGTTTGCCTTGAGATTTCGGCCGTCGGCGAGGCCGCGTTCGGGCCCTGCAGGTGCCATCAAGCAGGGACCTGGCACGAAGAACTCCCCCCCAGGGAGGCAGTCGGGGATTGTCGGGGCCGCGGATTGAAAGAAGCAAACCTGCGGAATGTAAGGGGTTACTCCAAATCCCTCATTGATCGTCCCCCAGGTCCGGTTTTTTAAGGCGGCTTTTTTTTGTAACTGGGGGGGTCCAGTTTATTAGGGCGTTTTCGTTGGATCGGAGCTTAGAGGGTCCGGTTTATGAAGGCGCTCCGTCGAAGAGGGGTGTCCGGAACGTTAGGTCACATTTGGAGGGGGGCTCAGTTTTTTTTTTGGGGGGGGGTCGATGAACAAGGGATTTGGCGTAGAGGGGTGCCGATCGCGAGGACAGCGGGCATCGCCGTGTGAAGA